GACCCCCAGAGTTAAACGAGAACCCTTCGCTACGCATTCGGGAAAAAGTGCTCAGATGAACTGAGTCTCACCCTTTGGACAAATCCGATTCCCTGCAACTCCTGCTCGAGTGTTCTGGCTGCACGTATTGTCCCAGAAGCTGTGGATGACTGGACCTGCTCACGTGCAACCTGCAACAGTTCCTTCCTCCTATCGGGGTCAACCCGAGCGACGACACTTCCAGAACCAGTTTCGGGCATGTTGGTCTTCGCCGAAAAAGCTGCAAATTGAAGTCCTGGATATGAGTGTTTGCCGCTCAGACTGACTTGCGTGTCACTTGAGCCGCTAGTAGTCCATTCTGTTCATTTTCTCTGGTCAACTCAGGTGGCGCGGTTTTTGACCCACACCCTTCTTGGAGACACTCCCAGAAACAATCATGGAAGCGGATGGCATGGCCCGTTGGATTGCCAGTTTTCTGTTGATTGTTTCTTCTTTTGCCTGCTTGAGACTTCAAATCAATGCCTGTCAGCACTGATAATCGTAGATGATCCTAAGGGGGTGCCAACGCTTCTGGTTGAATAACAAGAATCAGCCTCTATCCTTTTTGCATCCAACTAACCCATTCAGGTGCATATTGTTTTTCAAGCATATATGTAATATACACCGATGTCGAAGTGTTCTCAAACCATGATACTTTGATTGCATCCTGACATCAATTGTCTTAACGCTTTGAAAGCGCTTCTGCTTCCCTACAACACCGCATGGAACCGCATCAACTCTCCCCTCTCCCGTCTCTCCCCGTTCAACGCGCACGCCGCGGGTGGGAGGGTGAGCCCCATCCGCCTGGCCATCCGGAGCGCGAACGCAGTGTCCCTGGGGAGCCGCATCGGCGGCGGCCACCGCTTGCGGCTCCTCGCCGAAGTGCAACAGCAAGCGCCGACGTCGACAGGTGGAGTTGTCGCTCAGAAAGAGGGACACCTCGCGGTGAAGCGCCAGCAACCTGGCGAAAAAAGGCGAAAGGACTTGGCGGCGAAAGCAAAATGTGTTGGGATGCAAACACAAAACTATGCATTTTGTGTGGTGAGCTACTGGATCTTGCTAGCTATACATTGACATGTAGCTACTAAGTGACTGGTATGGCAAGGCTTTTAGAACAGAAGTGCGGTAGATCTGCTCAATGCTCATGGTACCCTGACTGACAAATCACATCTCTCGAACAGGGATCAGAGAAGGAGCAAATATGAAACATGTTGGCCTTGTTTGGAGTTCGCCTCCCTTCATCCGCCGCTTCCAAAAAAAAACACAAAACCGTTCACCGTCGCCCCGGAAAACGGCCTTTCACCGCGCTCCACGTCCGAGCTTTGCAGGATCAACCCTGGCCGAGCAGCGGAAGCGTCAGCTCGGCCGCAGATCCCACACACGGCTGCGCATTAAAGAAGGGAGACCTCCGTCTACCCAGCCGGACAGGGGGGGTTCCTTAATTATTATAGTACACCCACGTGGCGTTTTTTGCGTTTTGTGGGACGAGGGTCCATGAGGGTCCTCTTCAACCACTTCGGGTTCTCGTGCGGGTGTTGGGTCGTGAAAAAATAGAGGACAAATGCCTGGTGTCCAAGAGCAGAAGATCAACGTGTCAATGAACAACCAAACCGTAAGAACGAATCCCATGGATAGACCTCTACTCATGAAACAACCAAGACGTGGCATTCCAAGTGATGACGTTCCACCGGATGCCGCGGCAGTTCGCATTCGATTGCCGATCTACGACACCATTGACGCCGGCCGTGGTTTTTAGGTACCCATGAATGGAGACTTTACTGTTGATCGAGAACATCTTGAAGTAGTTCACCATCGGAAAGACTGAATGTGGCAGATTTCAGTACTGGACGGAGAGTCGTGCAGTCGTGCAAGACAGTCAAGCCGATTGAGATCGACAAGAACCCCAAGTTGACCGACAAGGTGACAGAGAAAGAGTTGACAAGCTTGAGAAGTGTTGTGGGAAGCCTGAGAAGTGTTGTGGCCCGCTATGGTCGACCTGATGTGTGTTATAGTTATCGCGTGAATGAAATGCAGGGAGCATGCAGTAGCAAGGCAGTAGCAAGGCAACCGTTCAAGATTTGAAGAATGCAAAACAAAATTGTGGAATTGGCACTTCAGGGACCTGGAGGTCACTGTCCAGAGCGACTGGATCGATTGGGACGATCTAGGAATTGTCACATTCAGTGACGCAAGCTTCGCACATGGAAGAGCCAACAGGGAATCATCCACTAGTGGCAAAAGACCTTCACAAGAATCAGCGCAAGATGCATTTGAGCAGCTTTGGATCGACAACCCTCAAGCGTGTTTGTCGGGCTAGGCTGCAAGCAGAAAGCAGAGGCCTATCCGTTGAGCACGGCGACAGATTGAGGTGCCTGATGTGCAAACTGACAGGCAGGATCGCGGACATGAAGAGTTGGTACGATGAGACACAGCGAAGAATGGCACACATGTACCTGACAGACTGCAGGTCTTTGTCAGCTCATTTGCTGGCTGAGGCACCGCGGAAGTTCCAAGCCAAGCGACGTGGAAATCAAGCTTGCAGCGCTCAGGCAGGCAGGGAGTATGGACAGTGAATGGTGAGATGATGTCAAAGGTGACCACTTGAAGTGGATCGAGACAGCAAAGCAGCTTGCAGACCCTTTCACGAAGAGCATGAAGCCAGACTAGTGAAGACCATCAACACCGGTCTCGTCGACGTCAAGGACAGCTCTTGAGAGAAAGGTGGCAAGAATGTCGCACGCTTACTTGAAAGAATTCGGATGGAGCGTCAAGGCTTCCATGTCCCACGTGGAATAGGGCTGCAAGGACGTCACTGCCTTTGTACAAACCTTTTGAACTGATAGCCTCAACACACCTGAAGATAATGTGATTCTGAGCTGCTTCAACCAGGGTGTGTTGTACAGTAAGCGCATTCCTGGAGCTGTTTTGGCTTGGATCAGGCGCCTTGAGCTAGTTGACGCGAATAAAGGATTGGTGCGAGTTTCACAAACTTAGTTCCATCGTGGTGTTGCCTTATTAACGGGAACCAACGCTTGTTTTGTCATTTCTTCAGATCTGTCGGTTGTTTTTTTAGTTGATTCACAAATCAGCGCATAACAGGGTCAACTCACCCTATGTGATGCTGCATAAGATGCCAAGATGCAATGCGTTTCTCCTTCTGCTGTTGGCGCATCGCATCTTACTTCCCCCTTGGTGTTCAGCTCATAGACCCCGCATGCGATCATACGCGAGCGGTTCTGGGGTTCATAATGCGCTGTGCCAAAAAAAGTGGGGCATTCTTGTCAACGTCCACCCACTGCGACGGGATGTCCCTCATTCATCAGATGCCGCAGCTGCTCGTCAAAGATTGGAATGGCCGCGCTGAATTGCTTGTTCTTCTTCCATTCTTCCTTTCTGGCCTCAATGATTCGCTTCTGTACATCTGGCGGCGACTTGTCAAAAATCAATGTCCTCGAAACCTTTCTAGCTTGGGTTGCAGCTTCCTCGCCAAAACGCTGTGCAACATCAAGCCAGTATCAAAGGCTTCATCTGCGGCAAGCGGGTCTGTTACCCGGGAGAAAACGGTGAAACCTGTCCTGCAACCACTCAGAGGACAGGCCTTGCCTCGACATTTGCGTATACGCTACCCGTACTGCACCTGCCATGCAAGCGTCATGTGCCCAGGCGAGAAACCCTCGACACCCTATGCGCCCCTCCGCTTGCACATCTTTTGTTGCACTCCAGCCTGACACATCGCTGGACAGCACTACTGTTCTCAGTGAGTGTGAGGCGCGCCTCTGGCGTGTGAAGGCTTGCGCACGCTTCAAGACAAATGCTGCGGTCATGATGTTGAACGGCTGTGCGTAGTACCTACCCAGAGTAGTCCATCCAGAGACTCCTTCGACCTCTCTGTATATCTCTTTGTCCGGCAACACCGGCGTGAGCGTCTCAGCCTTCAAATACCCCATCGGCTCACCACACGTACACGGGCCGGCGCAGCCCAGCCTGCGCGTCCATTGTATGCCCAGCCCTCGTACACCTGCAGAGCGCACTGCACCCGTGATCGGTTCTCTTGTGTGGCTCCAGCTTGTTGGCGGCCACCTCGACCTTTCTCCTCATCATGTGCAAGTCGCCCACCGACGCACTGGGGACTTCTGCGACGAGCATGCCTGCCACTGGACCAACAAAGACCTGTCTGAGAAGATCGTCGGAAGGGTCACTAAATGTCACTAAGCTACCTCTTATCTTTCAAGGGAAGCTCTTGAATTGTTGGCTCGTCATGTATTGGCTGCTGTTCGGACCACTGGAGTGATGGCTGGAATTCGAGCATGAAAAAGCAAGGAGCCTATTCTCGCACGAATCTCCTGAAAAATAAACACAAAAAAGCACACACACACACATACACACACACACACATATATATATATATCTGTGTGTGTGTGTGTTTTCGTCTTTAAAGGCCTCAGGAGCTTCCAACGTTCGAAGCCATCCTGCATCTCACCATCTCACCCACTCCCAGGATCAATACATGTTTGGAACCCCGCCACTGGTCCCTTGCTGATCATACCTGGTCCCATTGCCCCACTGTCTCAACGGGATCCAAAAGAACTTCCCCTTCTCTTCTACTCTCCAAAATGGAGTCTTCGCTCCGAAAAATGCTCGCAGCTCCCAAACCAGGCAGCTCGCACTTGGCGCTTCCGACCTCCCCCGCGCATAGACTCCATTCCCCTCCTCCCACGCATGGACTCCCGCGTTCGCTCCCGCCCCGCCCTCGCTCCCACTAGCCTTTGATCTCCTGTGCATCGCTACTTGGCCGGGTGAAGGCCACGGTCTCGGCCTCCTCGCCGTCACGCCCAGCGCGGCCCGTCTGCTGCACGAAGTCCTCGATGGACTTCACGCCTGCGGAAACGGCGCGGAAGACGGAAGTCGGCGACAGCAGAAGTCGGCGTTGGCAGACTAGACAAAGCCAAGATGGGCTGGTGGGGGTATGCGTTTGGAACATGTCCTCCTCTCTGGGGCATGCCTCGGTTTCTATCTTAGGAGACAAAGTGGGAGATGTGAAAGAGGAGAGCTTCCGGGGGGGGAGTTTATGGTTGAGTGTCGTCCTGGAGGCCATTCAGGTTGGAGGCCATTGCTATCAGTTTGTAGGCCTATCAGCTTGATTTAGTTTGGGCCCCCGGAATGCCGTGGCTTTTTGTCACGCACGGCGGTTGGGTGGAACTTGACAGAACATCCATTTGTTCCGTTTCTTGGCTGGTGACCCAGCAAACCAACCTAAAGAACCTAATGTAGGCAAATATGACATACATCAAATTTCTGGGTATGGCTACGGCAAAATGTTTTAAAATAGACTAAAGAAAGAAGTAATAACAATAGAATTAAATAAGAAATAAAGAAAATAAGTCAATGAGGAACTCGTGGATAACTTGACATCTCTTTGTGTTGTTCATTTCTTAGGGGTGCCCATGACTGCCCATGGCACAATCGCGGAATAGCAGGAACACATTCGCTTGCATCTGGTTTGAAGGGTGCCATGACAAGATGCTGGAGGGCATGTGACCTTTCCTTTATCTATATACAGTGGTTTTATGAGATGTTATGAGGATGTAAAGATTGACTTTGAGTGAGTGTGTGTGTATACAAGTATACTGTTGCTTAGGGTTGTTCGCATGTCTGGCACCTAGTAAGTGAGCATGCCGTAAACACGGGCACACCACAACACAGCCATCCCGTAAAGCCATCGGGTGTCCCAAATGATTTCCCGAAATTGTTCACCCCAAACATCTTCCAGGCCATGGATTGGAAGGACCTTCGGCTTGTTGACATGCACTGGTGGGTCAGGACCTTCGTGTCAGTAAGGCATGCCTCTGCGTCATCTATATGCCTTGCTCGATCTCACTGTCCCCACAAGTTGGCGAGGGGGCTTTGGTTGTAAATGGGTCCAGGTCATAGCAGCTCCATATCACCTGGAAGGATGATTGATTATATTATATTGTCCAAAGACCTTTATCGCGTGATTCATCATTGTAGTGGGTGATTCAACCTCACATCTACAGAGTCAACGGTCATTGCGTTCCCTTCGCATTTTCTTTTGGCATCCAGAATCCAAGAATACACCCTGTTCCAACCACGGAACTTCCTTCTTGTATCTTCCCACGCCCAAAGAACAGTTTATGAACAAAAAACATGCGATGCGCATGTTGCAATCAAAATCACTGTGCACAAACTCTCGTTACTTCATGGGCCCTTGATCTTCCGATCAGGCAAAAGGACATAAATACACACCTCCTCCGCTCCGCCCAAGCCCCCCCCCCATCTCTCGCCGGTCCCGCGGGACCGACGGTAAGCCTCCGTAGTGCACGACCCGCCGGATGGAGGGTTTGTCGATGCCCATCCCAAAGGCCACCGTGGCGACCACCACCTGGCACGACCCGCCAGCGGTGACGGCGAACCGCCGGCAGCCGCGACGGCGGGATCGGTGGCAAGTGGCGAGCGAGTGAGGCGCCGATTTCGGGGCAAGCCACATGGCCAGATGGCAGTTCTCAGTAAGGCAGCAAGTCTCAACAAACTTGGCCAGCAAGCAGACCAAAGAAGCAAACCAACTGGGGTTTTGGCCACTCCTGATCGGATCAGTCAAATGTTCCAATAGATTCGTCGTACTGATCCGACTGCGGGTTGCGCCACTGGAGGGAGGGACACTTGGTGGAGAAGCAGGACTCCTGGAGGGGCCTTGCAGCATACAGGTCATGATACAAAGTTGTCTACCAGCAATTACAAAGGGATGCTATCCATGGAGTAAGTCGGGGTGCCCCTGTCCACCCATCCACGAGCCCTGGATGGGACTCAAGACCATCCAACTCCATGTGACTCCTGGTAACTCCTAGGTTCATGCTGGTGAGACATGATGGGTTCAGAAATGGATGCCTTTCAGGACGTCTGTCCTTGGAATGACCACTCTTGCCGGACTCGCAGAACATGAGTTCAGCCCACGAGCCCGCCATACCCAAAGCTCTTCAGCCCACGAGTCTGGTGCTGTGGTTGATGGATTTGGGTGAATGGATCCTGAGCACCTCTATCCACCAATCACCACCTTCTGAAACTCTCTTTTTGCCAAAACCACCTGTGTCTGAGTGAGACAAGTGGCCGATAGTGGCCTCCACAGCCCGGCCCTACCCTGAAATGAAAGGTGAAAAAAACGTTGGACGTGTGGAACTTCTTTGCATGAAAAGCTGCCTTCTCTCTGTGGGCCGGGGCCTTTGAAAATTTTTGGAGGCCATGATTTCAAAGCCTCACGTTCCAGGGGCTGTTTCTAGAGTATATTATGTTATAAGACATAAATAGGACTCAAGGCGGGCGATGCAGGTATTAAGTCTATATGTAAAAACCTAATTATACCTCCTAGTCATGACCTGTCATGACTCGACCTTACATGACTGGACCCTACTGTTAAAATCCCAGAAATCACCTAACTCCGCGCCAACTCGCCCTCGCCCCCGCCTGGCTCGCCGGCGCGCGTTGCCGGCATCCCGGCAGCGCCGAACGGCGCGCCGTTCACGCGCATGCCCCGAGCAGCGCACGCCCCTTGCGCGCTCCGCACCTGCACCTCATCCAGCAAGAAGGCGGTATGAAGCCGCTCTCGAGCCTGCGGATGATGCGGAGCAGAGAAGTCGCTTCAGATCGGTCCCACGGCGACGGCAAGCGAGCGACTGTTAAGCTTCTCCGATCTGAAGGGCTCTGAGGCACTCGGCCAGGCCGGTTGGATCGATCGGAGGTCGGAGACTTCGATTTTTGGAGCAAAGGCAACAACCCCTTGGAGGGATGGGATGGGATCAGTAGCCAGAGAGGGGCGAAGAGAACCTGATTGATGGGCTTGGAATCATCTGGCACCACCTGGATATGGTCCCTTTAGGCAGCCATGTGACAGCGGGATGACTTGCACCCATCTGGAAGACTGCTGGAGGGTTTACGAAGATTGGAAGAACGCGGCAGTTTGCCTCCTTCGAGTTGGCGGTCTTCAACCTGATTGGGCTGGCCAAAACCATGTTCGGGCTGTGTGGGCTCGTCGGGCCACTGTCCTCCTTTGCAACGGTAAAACAAAGCGATTAGACATCAAGGACTTCAAGAAGACTGCACCCTTAGCCTGCAGGCTGCAGGTGTTCTTGATATCGTGGGCTCAAAACCCTCCTTGGCACCTTGGCCGCCCGTTTTGTTTGTGCAGATCTAGGAACAACTTCGAGTTACCTCCTCGGAGTACTATTCCCAGGGATTGGGGCTTTAATGGATCGAATGCTCGGAGCACGTGGCACGAGTTCTATGGGAACACTAAGTCACTTGCATCCTCTGTTAGGCTACGATTCCATGCTTGCACAACCCCCAGAGTGTCACTGACTCACTTCACCCACACACTTTGCTTCGTGAATGCCGTACTTGAGACGCCTTCTTAATATGACACCGGGTTTCCTCAGTAGCTATATGCTAGTGCTTGGGAGTGATTGAGGGCAGTCTCCTTCCGCCTCAGCAATTCATGAAATTAAGAAAAACAAACTAGACTACGGGACATTATGGGACCACTTTTTCTGCCTTTGTAGAAGTGTAAATTTGATAAAGCCGCTTCTTTTCGGCGCACAGCCACCGTCAGGTTTGGTTTTCGCGTGCCCATTACAATCTCAAACATCGGAAGTGTTCAGTATATAGAACCTTAATTGTTATAGAGAGTGGATACAGGGTCTGAATGCTTGCACAGCTACCACAGACTCCAGCCTGGCAGCCCACCACTTCCAACGACCCTTTGGACCCTCTACGGACCCGCCTGGAGCGACAGACCTGCGTGATAGGGCTCTGCCCGAACTCCTTGAGCCTCTAACCACTGCGCCAATTCTTCGCTCTTGGCTCGGGTGGGCACCTGCAGGCTCATCGCTGGGTGGCACCAAGAAACCGTCCTCCTTAGGCGGTTGACCATGTCTGGTCATCTATTCTGTGAAGGTGTTCAGTGGAAAAAAAAAAGAACGGGTGTATCCCGGGTGGTGATTCGACCCACTGCCGTTCCAGTTCCATGTTCATGGCAGCGGAAGTGGGGAAGAGTTGGAGATGATTACTCCACAAATCTTGAGAAAAATGAAGGAAACCAAATGGTTACTCAACAAATCTTCAAGTAGGCCAACAAGTGTTATCCACAAATCTTCAAGTGTTTTCTAGATGGTTGCTCAACAAGTGAATCAACAAGAAGGCCAAACTCAAAAAGGCCAACTCAACAAGGCCAACTTGGGCAGATTCAGTCATCCAAGTACAGTAAGTGGTTTTCTCCGAAGTCGTGTGTTTTTGAGCCGAACTGGGGTTGGATGAAATTGAGGCGTCCATATTCAGGGAGTCTAGGACATCTTATTAGGGACTGGCAGATACACACAGCCTCTTTGAAAAAAAGGGGCCACAGGAAGTGGAGGATACACTTCCCTATATAGGCATTACAATAACACACCATCTCAGTTTTGCGTCTGAACCAGGCGCTTAGCCGTTTTTCGTGTCTACGGAGTGTGATCCGAAGGCCTCGAAGGCCTCGGGTGGCTGTGGATCCCAATTGTACCAGGACCCGACACCGTGGGGTGTCTCTTTATAGCCCCTTAGCTGTTAAGGGGTGTCCATTAACCACCCCGACTGTGGGTCCTTGGTGTATGTCTGTGTATATACAAAGATATGTATACAAAGAACCACACAGATCGGTGAACTCACTGTCCACCAAAGAGTGATACAAATCGGAAATCTCTGACCTACGACCCCCACCGACCCCTCTCCATTCCAGCCCGGATAGGCCCTTAGGTTTGAAACAGAAACGAGCACACAAGTCACTGAAGAACTTGCATTGAGAGGTCCAAAGAAACCTTTTTACTTACTTGCGGAAGGTGGGGGAGAGGTGGGTTGGCCTCCTGGGTGTTGTATACACATAACCCTACAAAACCCTACAAAACTTCCGAAAAAGAAAACCTTGCTGGAACCATGATGAAGCTACCTATAGGACCTATAGTATGCGACCCGAAACTCATCGAAGTTGCTAGGTCGAACCCTGGCTTTCACAAGATTCCAAACTCCAAACCACTCTAGCCCAGACACTCCTTGTATGTCATAATTGCCTAAGTTGGGGTGGTTTCAGGGCTGAATGTAGGGGTGGTTTCAGGGGTGAATGTAGGCAGTGTCACCTTGAAGAATTCCGAGACCAATCTTCCAAGCTCCAGATCACATGAGATGCGAGTGTTGATCAGCAAGCAAAACCTCTGATGTGTGCTTCATGTCAAGCTGACAAACTGTTCTTTTTGCTTTCCCCCTCCACTCCACGGCTGCCTTTTTGCTTCGGACTTGATACAAAACCGCTCCAGTCTTCCTCCGTCGCCGCCAGCGAGTCGTCGCTAGCGTTAGTCCTAGCCTTGCCAAGGCACATAGATGATCGAAGAGCTCATGCAGTTGATGGAGGTGTTGTCCACACTTCGGGCTGCTCGTGCGCTTGAATCACCTTGCCACGGTCACTGCGTCTCGGTGGTTGTCTTGACGACCGCGGCCGGGCGCGGAGTGGAGTTGAGTCTCCGAGAAGGGAGAAACTGACGGTCTCCAGCAGCGCCAGCAGTAGAGCAGTAGAGATCTAAATTAGCTTCCTATTTCGGCCTATCGACCTCTTTTTTCCGCAAAGGGGGTGGATCTTGCCATGCGGTTTCTTCCGGGTGATTCGGCATATGGCTGACCTGTTGCAGAAAATCCACTGCTTTAGGGAGCAGCATCGACGCCGACGCCCCATCTGATGTTCCAGCCCCCCCACCTGCAAGACTTGGTCTATCTGATCGATCTGTCCGTTTTCAGTGGGTTGCGATATATAATATTGGGATGGTATAGTAATGGTACCCTCTATATATGTGTTTCATTTTTTCATCCAATGGGCCAACGAAAGCACGCACCCAAAAAGTCCAAGGAAAAGCTTTGACTTCGCAGTCCTAGTTTAGCACATCCCAATACATTGTTTTTCCATGGTCAAGCAAACCCGCAGTAGCAACGGACAACGGGGTGCCCATTATCCACTCACTTAGGCACTAAACACCACCCCGACATGTGACTCCTGGTCTATTCTGTTCATTTTTGGTCAACAGATCAGTTGGATCCCGACTTGAACCCCCACCCGTCCCGCGATAAAATCGACGAGCGACCATGCAGCCCGAAGATCTCGCGGAAGTCCTCCCATGGGAGCGCGAGAGGAATCGGGATATCCCGTGACCAAATTGGTTGTTGGCCTCCAGACCATCCAGGTTATGGATTCGGAATAGTTCTATACCAGGACCCTCCAACAGGTCACCACCTGCAGAGGGAGACCTGCCCCATTAAATTGAGCCCGATGCCCAATGTATTTATCCAGTCCATGGATGGTCTGGGGCCCAGACCGGTCCGGTCCGTCCATCTGGTGGGATCGCGAAGGCCCCATGGTGTTCGACTCCAACGGTTGAAGCATTTGGGTTCGGATGTTCGGCCAAACCTGTGGTGGTAGTGGTGGTGGAGGTGGTGTTGGTGGCATTTGCTTTCGGATTTGCTCGGCCAAACCTGGCAAGAACAGGGCAGAATCCACCCAAAATGGACCAAATGATTAAATGATGGTGAATACAGACTCCTCTGCACTCTGCTATGGAACCACATCACTTTGTGTGGGTTCTTTCTACACTCTTCGACCCACGTTCTAGATGATCTTTGTCTTGCATACAAGAGAAAGTCAGCAAGACCTCCACACTGCCGTGACTGTGCTCCGCCCGGCTTCTCCCACCCAACTCCCAGACTCCATGGCCCTGCGTTTCTCATGCGGGTCATCTCCCCAGGCCGCCCAGCAAGAAAAAACGAAGAACTAACTAGGACCCACAGTCGGGGTGGTTAATGGACACCCCTTAACCTCTAAGGGGCTTATCAATAGACACCCCGAAACGGTGGTCCTGGTATAGATTCCTCAAGGAACGCCATGTCCCTGCAAAAAAGCGGTGCACCAAGACCTGAGACGAGAAGCAATCGGTCCTCCTGCAAGGTGCTGCGCGGGCGCACCAGCAGCTTCAGATTGGGCCGGTTGATGGAGCCATGGATGTTGACGCCATCTTTGAAGTGCAAGGAGCGCAGGATGTCCTGCTTCACCTTAGCAGAGTCTAAAACTATGCGACCTTCTTTACACGACTTGTCCAGTAGAATCTGTAGAAACGATGATCTGTCTTCCGGGCACGACGGTGCTTGTCCGAGGCCAACGAAGCGCCGCGCCCTCGCGCCTGCGGAGTACAGGTGGCTGTGAGCGCCATGGTGGGGACGCCCAAGAGCTCGCGCAGCTCGCCCAGGCGCTGATAGGAGGGGCGGAAGTCGTGGCCTAGGAGGATGATGGATGGGAGGGTGGGTTGGGAGGTGAAGCTCTGGATGAATGTGTGGGATCTGGATGAGTAACCTGATGAAGGTTTTCAACATGAATGTCGATTCTCAAATTAGCAGGTTTGGAGGTTGATGGTTTCGCCATGGATGGTTTTTGATGCGAGTGGACAGAAAGCTGAGGCCCATGATATCCAAGGGGTATTTGTGTTGTACCGTCCGAAAGCTGATCCAATCACCCAATCGATCCCGAATGAAAGTCGGTCCATGAGCAGCTTCATGAGATCGGTTCGACATCGGTCGAACCGAAGCCTTTGCTGTGATGCACTGGAGCACTTGAAAAAACAGACCAACTCATCTATCGACATGTGTTCCAAAAAATTGAAACCTTGGCAAAACATACCAACCCATACGTCCGGGCGGATGCTTTGAGGACTTCGAGAAGTGGCCACACCCTTCTTGCACGAGCCGCCTTTGAACTCTTTCCAAGAGCACCTTTGAGTTGGTCGCAGAATTCTGAATGGGATGGTCTAAGACAAAGAAACTATATATATATACGTAATATAGTCATTTACTCCGGAAAGTATATGAGCACAATTGTGGGGTCTCTCTTTTGACCCCCTTTCCATATATGTCTCACCAGCCTTCCATCGGCGGAATCCGTGACCCCACAACTTGCGGAGACCTCCCCGACCTCCGTCCACTCAGGCAGAACGAACATACCTCCAAGTACAATCATAGTAGGGACCCTAACTATGTTAGACCTGGTCTGCTGCGGGCCCGGCGCGGGCCCGGCGCGGGCCCTCTAGACCGCTAGTAGTTGAACCCAGCTCGGCCCAGTCACCCCAGGAGGAGATACAATGTGCCTCATCAATGGCCAGTAAGTGCACTGAGCCTTTCCTGGGGAGAACGAGGTGAAGCATCTCCCAAGAATCCGCGCCCTCAAATGGAAGGGGTTTTGAGGGTCCAGACCCCTGCTATGGAGGGTTTTAAAATGGAGGTCCAAGGGTTCTTAGGTGAAAACTACAAAAAACTCACGACGGGAAACTCCCTGGGCTCACGCCCCAGTCGTTAGGGCAATTCAAAAATCATCAGTAGCCTGTCATGCTCATGCCCAGTCAGAAAAGATCAGAAGAAATCTTCTTGGACCTTGCACGCCAGTTCATCCGATGGGATGCCGGAGTAACCACATCGAAGGAGTCACCAGTTCTCCACCAAACATCCAGTCACCAGTTCTCATGAAAGTCCTTTAAAAAAAACTCTGTTTTCCTTGGGGAAACGCGCGTGGATGGATTCGGTTGCTTCAGAGGAGCTTTGACACATATGTTGAGATTCCCAGTGTGCGTTTGCAATCCACATCACCTCCGAGGTTTTGTGTTTGGGGATGCTTCAGTGGGTCTTGAAGCCCTTCTCAACTGTAGCTGGATTCATAGCAAGGGGCAAAACATCGGTAAAAAAATAGAATAAAGAAAAACACATTCAGCTGGTTTTCAATGCCCGGTATGAATGTAAGCTTGAGGCTTAAAATATGAAATGAGAGCCATGAAGGTGTGTTTAGAAGGCGGGATACACCAAAATCAGTGCGGGGACATACCTTCTTGCCAAACGGAAGAAACCGATGAACCATTGGCATCTCCGTGGTGCCGTACCCAGCACCTTCCCTGTATGCCGTACCCAGCATCAATAGCGCGAGTTCGGAGAGGTGCGTGAGAGCGAATTCGGGACACCTGGCCACGATCGGAGAAAGGCACAGGCCTCGGGACAATGGGGATGGCTGGATCCAAAGGAATCTCTATATTGGGGGCAAGTTCCTTCCCGAAACTTCCCGAACTGAGTCGCAGCAGGAACGAACTTGGTGCTTGGCTAGCTGCCTTGGGGTTGATTCTCCTGCTTGTGTTTCTCTGGTTGCATGATCTTTTTGGTAGGTTGGTCACTAGGGGTCTCTGCCAGCTGGTCGGTAGGGTCTCTGAGTCAACTTGGGGTTGCCTCGGTTCCTGTCCGAGTCGGGAATATAACAGCCCAAGTTCCGAAATCAATCCTTCCAAACCCCCAGCTGCCAATTTAACGCTACAAATGTTGGTTTAGTTTGCCTTTTTGCTGCCGAGTTAAATATGTGTCCTGCTTCACCTTGCATCGAAGAGCTCTTCACATTCGCAGACCAAGGCACATGTAAATCACCTGAACGCCGCCGCGTGGCGGCACTCCCTCACGCAGCTCCCTGATGCTGGCACCGCCCGAGCCGCAGTAGACCGCGTGGATCTGGCGCTGCCGCAAGGTTCGCACCTGGTCCTGACGTGGCGCTCCGCTCGCGGGCTCCGCTCGCGTGGGTCGGAATCCGGAGTGACCCTGAATGGAGTGGTTTTGACTATAGTGCAATAACGAACATATGTTCAAACTTCAATTGGCTTAGTAGGTTCCAGTAACAGAAAACTTGACTTATTACTTTGCTAAAAGAACGCCTGCTTTTAGAACCCACGCAAACCCAGGCCTGCATGAGGGAGATCAGTGGAGAGATCACTAAGGTCGAAGGCTTCAGCAATGCAGGCAATTGGAAGCACAAGGATTTGCCGCTGCCAGTGCCCATGCTGATGAGCCTCATGCAGCGAAGGGCGTTGGCGGCTCGCGCGCCGCGAAAGCACGTGCGCTTTTCGGCTGCGAAAGGATATATAGTATTTAACCTAATAGCGATGGCCTCCGACCTGATAGCGATGGCCTCCAACCAATAGCGATGGCCTCAAACCTGATAGCGATGGCCTCCAACCTAAAAACGATGGCCTCCAACCTAGTAGCCATGGCCTCCAACCTGATAGCGATGCCTCCAACCTAAAAACGATGGCCTCCAACCTAGTAGCCATGGCCTCCAACCTGATAGCGATTCCTCCAACCTAATAGCGATGGCCTCCAACCTGATAGCGATGGCGTCCAACCCAAAAACGATGGCCTCCAACCTAATAGCGATGGCCTCCAACCTAAAAACGATGGCCTTCAGGATACGGTATGATACGGTTACATTCCCCGAAATCATAACGGATGGCATGTCCCAAGTTCAGATGAAATGAAATCCGAATACCAAACAGGTGGTGCCATCACTCCACACAACCATGATATTGTTTCTGCTGATGTTTGTTATCTCTTTGTTGGATCAATGTCGCCCCTTTGAAAAAAAACAAGATGGAGCCCACGAACCCGAATGCAAACACGTTCAAAAAGCTACATATGTCCAAATAACACTCTTGTAGGACACTCTTGTGGGACACTCTTGTGGGTCACTCTTGTAGGAAACTCTTGTGGGACACTCTTACGGGACACTCTTGTGGGACACTCTTGTGGGACACTCTTGTGGGACACTCTTGTGGGACACTCTAGTAGGAAACTCTTGTGGGACACTCTTGTAGGACACTCTTGTGGGATACTCCTGTAGGACACTCTTGTAGGACACTCTTGTGGGACACTCCTGTAGGACACTCTTGTGGGACACTCTTGTGGGACACTGTTGCGGACACTCTTGTGGGACACTCTTGTGGGACACTCTTGTGGGACACTGTTGCGGGACACTCTTGTGGGACACTCCTGTGGGACACTCATCTGGGGCACTCTTGTGGGACACTCTTGTGGGACACTCTTGCAGGACACTCTTGTGGGACACTCTCGTGGGACACTCTTGTGGGACACTCTTGTGGGACACTCTTGTAGGGCACTCTTGTGGGACACTCTTGTGAGACACTCTTGCGGGACACTGTTACGGGACACTCTTGTAGGACACTCTTGTGGGACACTCCTGTAGGACACTCTTGTGGGACACTCTTGTGGGACACTGTTGCGGGACACTCTTGTGGGACACTCTTGAGGGACACTCTTGTGAGACACTCTTGCAGGACACTGTTGCGGGACACTCTTGTGGGACACTCCTGTGGGACACTCATTTCGGACACTCTCGCGGGACACTCTTGTGGGGCACTCTTGTAGGACACTCTTGTGGGACACTCTTGTGGGGCACTCTTATAGGACACTCTTGTAGGAAACCCTTGTGGGATACTCTTGTAGGACACTCTTGTGGGACACTCTTGTAGGACACTCTTGTGGGACACTCTTGTAGGGCACTCTTGTGGGACACTCTTGTGGGACACTCTTATAGGACCCTCTTGCGGGACACTCTTAACTCTTGTGAGACACTCTTGTGGGACATGGTTGCGGGACACTCTTGTGGGACACTCTTGTGAGACACTCTTACGGGACACTCTTGTAGGACACTCTTGTGGGACACTCTTGTAGGACACTCTTGTGGGACACTCTTACGGGACACTCTTGTTGCACACTCTTGTAGGACACTCTTGTGGGTCACTCTTATGGGACACTCTTGTCGGACACTCTTGTGGGACACTCATACGGGACACTCTTGTGGGACACTCTTGTAGGACACTCTTGTGGGACATGCGGGACACTCTCG